CGACAAAACAAAAACGTGCTGATATTGTTTTAGGTATGAAAAAAAAAACATACATATGTTTTAATACTTTTTTTTTTTTTATTTTATTTTATTCAATGTTTTAATACTTGAAATAAATAAAATATACACAATATTTCATAGATGTTTATAAATACTTAATTTAAAATTTTTAAAAATGTTTATTTAAAATATTTATAATTATGTTTAACAAATAATTAGCGCTTTTATTATATAGCGGTGATCCATAATGAAGAAATGTTCCATAAGCAAATATGTTTCAAATATTACAGTCAAACAAAAAATAATTCGTTAAAAACAATATTAAATTAAAAATTTTATTGTTTAGATATTTTGTAGATTTGTTGAGTAGAATTTGAAAAAAAAAGAAGTAAGAAGAAAAGCAAGAGTGCAGGATATATAAAGATTGTATAGAATATATATGGAAATAGTATAGAATATAGAAATGAAATAGTGTAGGTGGGCTAAAAGCTCTAACGATAAGTAAGCGTGAAGTTCACTATTTATTGCTATGCTTTGCTATTATGACTTCCAAAAATATTTTTGAAAAATATTTAGTTACTTTAATAAAATTTGATTCATTAATCCTTTTTCTATTTATTAATGAAAATTATCGTAAAGCCAACACTTATTTACTTCATTATTCACAAATTTATATTTAAATAACTAGTAACAAACAAAGTAACTATTGTAACAATTGTAGAGTAATAAACGCATTAATGGGTTTCAAGTACATGTTTATTGCGCAATATTTCGAAAGAATAACGCGCACTTCTTTCGAGCTCGTAAATTAATATAGATTTTAAATTTAAAACAATTTATATTGTAGACTGTATATAATTTTAAGGTGCATTATTAATTTTACAATGCATTGTTAAAAGAATATTTGATAAGTATCTACGATAACAAAATAACAATCTATTTATAAGAGTAGTTGGCAGATAAAGTATAACAATTTAATTATATACCCGGCATATAATATATAAATTTTAAAGTAATTGTATATTTCAAATTTTAATTTGTCTAATAAGTTTAATTAAGAAACAATTGTTGTAAAATGAGCAGCTCAAGTAATTTCATGTCATACTCCATTAATATAATGTTGATCCGCGATTCCTAAATTCAACAATCAATCAAAATGACAAATTCGTTATGAACTTCCACATGCTTCTCATAAGAAGCCATGTGCATATTATGTAAAATGAAAATCGATATCATTCACATGTCTTTTAAAACCCGATCGACAGAGCAGCTGTTTTCGTATACTACACAGTCGGACCTTTTTCTCGTAAAAACACCGAAGGATCGCATTTAAATTTTAAAACCTGTAAAACCCGACAGGCCACATGGTTCTGTTGATCTCCGCTGCGCAACCACACACACCAACACATCTTACAATGTATCTTTTAGAGAATTTTGATAAATAGAAGTTTGATAAGGGATATTTATAAAACATATATGGTCATTGTAAAATTGTGAGTATACTAAATTATTAGTCTATCGTAGAGATAAAAATGCCCGCAAAGAATATGTGCATGAAATAGAAATGTAACAACACTGTAATGTATCAAGAGTTGAAGCATTGCTCGAAAAAATTAATATATTATTATTATAAAGTAAAATTGAGACTAATTATAACTTAATATTCAGTTCGCTTTAATTATATTATATACATATTTTGAAGTTTTTTTATATATAGACTGAAGTTTCGTTAGATTTAAAACGTCCCTTTTGAGACAAGGTTGTTGAGTGTTTTGGACCAGAAGCAGCTGTTGTGATGGCGTTGAATGTTTTTATTTTGTGGTACTTTAGTAAGAGCGGATATTACGCATATATATATATATATATATATATATATATATATTATAATAGTTTTAGCTTCCGGGATTTATGCTGATCATTATGCATATTATGAATATAAATTGGCAACTGCTAGCCAACGAAAGTCGGGATTCAATTAACAAGCTTTGCTATTTTTATACTTCATTAATGAAAGTTTCAGCGTACAAATTTTTGTTCTAAATTTAAAAGTATAAGAAAAAAACTAACTCCAGATTTCATGCCAAAAAGATTTATATTGATAATGATTTCAGGATGAGTAACATTTTTGGCACTCGACATAGAAAAGTTATACTTAATGCCAAATTGCAAATGAAAATAATCACATACCAAGTTACCTACTCTACTCACCTAAAAACATCAAATGACTTAAAATAAAATGCTCGCTAAATGTTAAACATACATGTACGAAGAGTCAATTTCACGTTAAATATAGATTTTGCGCTGCACGCTATAGTTTTCGTAGTTAGATCGATGGAATTGCAAAAGACCATGGTAAAAAGAATTGATTTAACAACTACTATGTGGCTAATGTTTTAATGCCTAGACAACGAAAAATATAGAGTAAAAGCATTCGACGCGAGCCAAAACAATATGATCAAATAGCATTCAAATGCAAAAATATTAAAAATATAAAATCGAAATTGCGATTCTTTGCAACATGTGCGAAAAGCTATTGTGAATAAGCAGTCCAATATAACATAAAGAGATTTTATCATTTCTAGTCCCAGAAACATTGTTGCCAAAAATATGATACATGATAATGCGATGACAAGCAAATCTTAGTAAACATCGTTTATTCATATATTTTCGTGTGTATAAAAATGTGTTAAATAAATTATGAAGAGACGGCTAGCTGCCTACACATTTATAAATGTGTTTAACACGTCGAGCAACGTATAAAGATATCTGCAACATATTTACGAAGACAAAAGCGATAATCTATTGGCTTAAAAAGCATACAGTTTGATTTGATTTTGATATAATAAAAATTTAAAAAATTTAGATGATGACCCTGAGATAAACAAATTAGGAAAAGAACATTAACCCCTTAACCGGGAAATTGATCTAGCTTGGACAGTGCCGAAAAAGAATTTAAATTGCAAGCGCAAGCAAAATTCTTGCTATCGCTAACGTGTGTAGCTCGTTATTGCCTGAGATGGCACTTGTACATCATCACGAGCCACACACGTTATACCCGGGCAAATGGTTAAAAGATCCATATGGGAGAAATGAAATAAAAATACAAAAATAATAAGTTAACCCACCTTTGTTCGTCCGCGAATACAAATTTCCTCAACTTAAGGTCCCTCAAAACAACTCCTAGTTTATGACAATCCCTAACCGCAGTTGCCATTTGACGAAACAGCCTTCTAGCTTCGGGTTCCCTCAATCTCCGCCTTGCTCGGACGTGTGAATGTAAATCACCGCCTTGAGCTTTATCGAACAATAGATAAGCCCTTCCTGGACCTAAAACCACCTCTCTTGGATGTGAAACGTGCTCCAATTCCTGCAGCAGGAAATGCACTCCTAGAAGAGCTGACCCGCAGCTCCTGGGAACGACCTGGAATTAGAAGTTAATACGATGTTAATTACATCGGATAACTGACTGAAATAAATGATTCGTGAAAGATCAGAGGAGGAGTTTGAAGGTTATAGATAAAGAATAATAATTGAAATATATATAAGGAATTTTAATGGCAAGGGATGTGTAAAGATTATTACTAATAGAGCTATTGGCTATAAAAAACAAACATATAATAAAACCTTAAATATTACGTATCCTATAGTATGTGCTTCTATTTTATACAGAGCTAAACATTCACTTTTCTGCAAATACCCTTCGGATACATGGCTAAACGCACAGTAATTTCGTATTTCATTCCGAAATACCTCCTGCAGAACGCTCGCAAACCTCCTGTCGTAATCTTTCGCAAGCCATATGTTATATAACAAACTTAAATTCATTTTAAGAAATTAGAGACAGAGTTTTTGCTTCCATTCTGATTTTAATTATAAGTTTCGCGATAATACCCTTAAAATATTCGTTACCATTGGAATCTTAATCAATACTCTCGTGCATGCTTGTTCCAATTCTGATTCAAATTTAGGTGTGATAAAGCGACAAACCTTTTTCATTATGAATTAATAATAGCTCTATCCACTCCCATATCAAATGTAATCACATGAAGATAACCACGCCTGAATACACACCCGATTTTTTTAAATACAAAACTTTTAGAAGTGCGTATATGGCTTAATAATAAATATCAATACTATGATATAAACGAAGGTAAATTAGATACTGATTAATACAAGCGCTAAAATAAATTAGTATTAGATAGTTAATTATAGATTCTGGTGAAAAATTAAAATACTCTTTGCTGGTAATGAGGACAAGGACATTAAGGAAATGGCAAATGAATGAGAATATTTTGCAGGGGCATTCTTCATATCAACATGCTCATTGCTGATTAATGAAACAATCAAGCAGCGGAACAAATATAATACGACTAATAGTCACCTTCATCTTACAGTTATTAATTTTTTGTGTAATTTGAAAATTAAAAGAAAATGGATCTATAATTTGCTTGTCATATAAGTTTTAGGTACATTTTAAGCTTAAAGAAACAAAAAACTTTTATTTTTACGAATATTGCATGCTTTGATAAGAACACATGGTAACAATTCGCACGTGTGTGGCGCGTGCCCGATACGCAAAAGAAAGCTTCGAAAGCTCTCTAAGCTTTCTATGAAAAATTTATATAAAAAAATGTATACTATTAGTTACACAGTATTATGATAAATAAACGTAAAATAAAACGTAATATAATCAAATAAAGCATTAGTGATTACAAAATATAGCTCAAAATAGTATACAAAATAGTAACAAAATAACAATTACAATGTAATGCATTTTTTGAACAAAAATATTTGTATATTTATGTAATATCTAAATTACCAAATCACCATACACGTGCCCAATAATAACTAACAAATGAATTATTGAACAATTCAAAGTATTTTGTACGTCATCAAAACTGCAATCATTTATATCTGCTCATTTGTGCAACAATAAAGTTATTACAGACTATGTATAAATATGCAGTAAAACTAGATAGCATACAATGTCACAATAAATAACACAATAACGCACGTATGCAAAAGTATTTTGTTTATATGTTTATGGATATTTACAGCTATTTCATAATATGCAATGTAAATTTATACACAAAATGTGCAAACAGTAAGCAAAACGGAAGAGCATTGTTACATTATCTCCATACTCGGTACAGTAAGTTTGAGTTTAAGCTACACCTGCTATATCATGATAAATCTATTCGGGCCGAAAGCAAAGGAAATGTAATAAAATATGTTATATTAAATATCAAACGTAAACATACCGAAGTGAAGTATATCATTGAAGCAAAGCGAACTAAATCGAATGCGTTTGAGAATTCGGACACAAATTAAAAAATTGATATCATCAAAGCACATAACTCGTTTATTAACAAAAAACATACTGTGCGCAATTGATCAAAACTCGAAATATTGTAGGTTGTTTGATGAAATCACTCAATGCAGCCCATGTTAGTAAAATTTAAATATACTTTGTTAAATGCCAATTGGCTAATGACATTTTAGACAGTAATACTCGTCGTAAAATGTATTACTAAACGTCTATTGTCTGTCACAGAAATCTATCTATTAACATAATACTACCAGAAAAACAGGCAAGCATATCATAATATATGTGGATTTGTTAACCACTGTTGAGTATTTCCAAAGTGTTATTGCATATAGAATATCGCAATGCAATTATGAGCCTTTCGGAAACCTGAACGGAAGTTTGGCCAATGACGTGAGTATTGCGCCGACTACGCCGGAACTTGATTTTATACGATTCAGCTCTAGGATTAGTTAATAAACTTTGAAGGATAAGAAACCTTCTAATCTTTGTACAGCGCTTCTCAAAATGAAGCACAATTTTCTCAACTTCAACAGCAAAATATTCTTTTAATACAAATAATTTCCGATTCTATCTACCTATCCCAATACAGTTTTGTCACACCTCTAAAAAAAACTACATTATGTCACGCTTAAAAGACAAAGAGGGTACCGAACGAGGCTGTCAGCACTTGAAACAAAAAAACTCTACATCATGGTTCCAATTCAAGGTGAACTTCAGAAATACATGTCACGGCAACCCACGACGATATATTTTGACAATTACGGTCGACCTCTATTATCTGAACGCTGTAATACCCGATTACGAACAAAAAAAACTCGGTGACATTGTTCACACAATTCGCGAAATGTACTACCTATATAAATATACTTTGAACAATGGTAATTAACTAATATATTTCTTAATACACGAATTAAGCGATTATAGTATAGTTAACGATGGGCATTTTATAAACGAAACATTAATAGAGTTCTCATTCATAAAATTCATATGATTACCACGTACGTAGGTAATTAATTCATTCAACAGTTTTATACAAAACTAGCTGACCCGGCAAACGTTGTTTTCCATGAAAAATATTTCTAGTATAAAGTATTTGAATAGTGCACCCACTGCAAAGCACGCCACATATAAATGCTCCTTTTTGCTTAATAGTCTTTGCAAGTGCCAACCTAATCTGAAATTGTTTATATTCAGATGGAATTGGCACATTTAAAGCTACAAATACATAATTAGAGCGCAATTTTGTATTTGTGATGCAAAAACAACATCAAATTTTGACAAAAATCTTCTTTATACGTAAGTCTAATAATAATATCTTATCATCAATTGATACGATATCATTTCAAAAATCTTTACCATGACGACATAAGGTCTATTCATTGCCTCTCATGGCTATACGTAAGTTCACATAAATGTGATTACGATGTCGCAACTGTTTTATTAACACTATTTGTCATTAAGACACAAAGGACAGGAACTACGGACGATTTTCAGTTAATTTATCATTGAACTTCTGTTGACAACGAGATGACAGGCAAAAACACGTACTGTAGATCTTCTTTGATTCAATTCATGCTTGTCGAGATTGCGGTGTTGCTTGAAAATTTAAAATACCATTTAATTAAATATTTATGTAAAATTGAAATTAGTAGAAATTTTGAAATCCCAAATCAATTAGTAATTTAATTCTACAATATGCTAAAACCACATTGGTTGCAACATTATTTTTCAATTTTATGTTTTTCAGTACAAGAAAATTTATAATAAAATGAACCGTTTCTTATGCAATTTCAAAATCACTTTTGCAATATTTATCGTGGCAAATATAATATCATATTAGCAATAGCAAAACAATTCTTAATTGAACTTTATCAAAATTAATATAATTTCTTTATTAATACTTATTTACTCTCGATCTAAATATGTATACTGATTATGGCATATGACGAAACTTAACCTTTACACTCTTTATAATCAACGAGCGGTTTGGCCTCAATGAAGGACTGATTTCGCAATGTAATTGGTACATGAAACAGTGATGTGTTCGTCCATGTATCAACATAAATCTTTCAATCGAACAGAACTAACAATTACTACTTTACACGCTTAATAAGACCGAATCAAAAATTCGTATAAAAAAATGTATCAAAGTGTTTTATTCATGGCCGCCTCTAAATTGATGGCCGATGCTTTGTGTCGATTAAGCAATTATAGAGTTGAGCGAATTTGCAATGTTGTTATTACTAAATTTAGAATGAACGGCTAACGATTATTTCAGCAGTTTGAATAAATGAATTATGCTCAAAATTGTATTAAGAAGTTGTTATTTTCACAGATTTCTCGCTACTCTTATTTATGAATATAAATATAATAAAATGTATTCATAAAAACAATGTTATATATTTAAAGTTAAATTTAAACAGAATTGTAATAAAATTTCGTCACTAAAATTTAAGTTATCAAATAGACTCATAAGTTTATGTCTTTATTCCAAGGGTCAATTAAAGTGATAAGTGTTGTCCAAGAAAATTATCTAAAACATGTGAAAAATATTGACGAATAAATAGTATTATTCATTTCCAAAATAATGCATATGTCTAAATAATTATATTACAATCGTTCGTATCTCGCGAGCGAATTGAACCAATCTAATCCAGTGCGTGACAGCTCGAGTCCAAACAGCTCCGCCGAATGCATATAAATGCTCGCGATCAATTAAGACAAAGTTTCGCAAATGCATAATACACAACATTATTATCTGTTGCGAGGTGAAATAGCTCGTTCGAGAGATCAGGTTTAATTGCGAGTGGAATTGCCGGTAGATTTGTGTTATGCATGGTGTTCCCTCCCGCCGTCCCCGTTTTTCGCAAAACCGCGTGGCCCGTTCGCGGCCAGACCGACCGGCTCAGTATGTCAGGGTCTCTATATTCTACTCCGCGCCATTCATGGAGAACTCAGCCGATATCTCGACTAGAAGTGTTGATCGCGAACAAATTGCTATTTGCGAATCGTTGTTTGTTTTTCTTCTTTATTTGTGCCATTGATACATGGCTAGCATTGCTGATAAGTCATTACTCCACTGCTCAATCATT